TGGGACATAAAAATCTGTGAATACCCAGCACATGTTTGACACATCCTCATCCATCCATCTATTCATCCAGTTAACAGGCATTAAGACCAAACTTTACACGATCTCTTTGGTTGGGTTTTAGGCTTCTCCAGAATGGAAACAAGGAATTAAAGTGTGGAAAGGCAGGTGTGGTAAGCTCAGTTGTTAAATCTAGGAAGAGATGGCTCCTTCCCATTAAGATTTCAACCTGCTCAAGTTTCTTATAATTGATGATTTTAAAATATGCTTCAAGCCCTATCCCCCTCTCCACATCTCTAGTTACTGTCCTCTTTACATAGATTCTCCCCTTGCACCAAAGTTCTACCAAGAATTCTGCACACTCAGTTCACATCTCCCTGCACCTCCCTTCCAACTCTGCCTTCATCCCTCATCTAACAGGGCTGTGTTCCCCCACGCTTCCACTGACATTACACTTGCCAACTCAACCACCACTTATTTGTCACACTTATACTGTAGATCCAGAATGTTGAAATAATTTTTCAAATAGAGACAAATAGGTATTTCCTCAAGAGGAAAGGATTTCCCTTCCACAGGGCAGAATTCAAATACTTGGGTACAGACAAGGAATTACATTACAGGGCAATCAGTTACCGAAAAGCTCAAGCTGTAACATACCTTCCATGGAGTTAGAGTTAGATAACATGAAGGCTGTGCTTTTGACAGTTGGCTTTCAAATGACGCACACATTTTCTCGGACATATCTCATAATTTTACTTCATTGAAATGGATTTTGCAAATATGTTAAGTGAAAGTTAGCAATAATTATTTTTATGGTCACTTCAATAACCTTTGTTTTATCTGTTTCTTTCTTTCTCAAGGGATTGCCAAGTATGGAATAAAATTGTCTGAAATTATATTGTTGTTCCAGGCTCTGCCATGAAAATATATTGTCTGAAAGCACTGTGTGATATACCATATTTGGACAATATATTGGTAGGTATAGGGAACTCTTTTGCAGTTTCCTGACTGTTAAGTCAAAATTCTCTTACTGCATTGTAGAAATTATGATGCTTGACTTTCTTTTGGGATGTATCCATTAAGTAAGAAAAAAAACCAACCTACAGAATCCATATACATCAATCCATATTGATATCAATAAATGTTTGAATTAATAAAGAAATGGGTGATGAGAGTAACTGTGTTTATCAAATAATTCCAAATAATACATGGTGATACCCTGCCTCTATGAAGTGAACCTGAAATCTGCCTTCCACCTCTGAGGGTAGGGCAGACTTAGTGACTCACTACTGAAGAACAGAGGAGGAAAATGGAAAACAGTTACTGTACACTGGAGAAACTGGGCAAACAGCACCTTAACCCACTGATGAAGGTCAACATCTCCAGTGACCCAGTGATGTCACGTGTGTACCATGTCCTCCCAGATATGATGTGATGGGAAGGGCACTACAACTCTGTGGTATTCTTTCTCAAAACCCACAACCACAGGCTAATCACAAGAGAAATAAGACACTATGCCTGTACTCCTCAAGACTGTCAGGGTCATGAAAACAGTGTGGCAGTTCCTCAGATGGTTAAACAGAGAGTCACCATATGACCCAGCAATTCCACTCCTAGGTACACAGCTAAGAGCAATGACAACATATTTTTACATAAAAACCTGTACACAAATGTATGTAGCATCATTATTCACAGCAGCCAAAAGTGGAAACAATCCAAATGTCCACCAATTAAAGAATGGGTAAATAAAATGTGGTGTACTATTTGGTAATAAAAAGGAATGAAGTACTGATACATGCCATAACATAGATGAACATTGAAAACATTATGCCAAGTGAAGGAAGCCAAATATGCAAAAGACCGCATAGTATATGATTCTATCTATATGCAATGTCCAGAAAAAGGCAATTGGTATAGCTGTACCCAAGGAATTCCCCGCTTTACACCCAGACTTCCAAAAGGCTCTTTGTTGTGGCTTTTTGCCACAGCCCCTCCCTCCCACTTTCCTGTCCTGCAATGTTCAAATTGCAGTTCAGGCTTCTGTCACCAGGTGGCACTAAAGAACCGCCATTTGCAAATTTCTTACAAATAAGTTTATTCAAACAGCAACGAAAAATACAGTACCTTCCCTTAACATTCAGCCTATGAATATATGTACAGAATGATTCTAATTCTGTCTGAAAACACTGGTAGGTGTAAATGAAGATTGTGAAAGCATATACTCCAGAGCTTGCACACGATGGAACACCAAGTGGCAGCAGCGAAACTTGTCAGTTGGTGGGCAGGCAAAGGGCAGGAAGGAGGTGACTGAGAGGGGATGGGGCTTTGGATCGTGGTGTGGGCAGCCTGTACAGTAGTGTTCTGTGTCCTGACGGGGGATGAAAGAGAGTGTGAGACAGGGACTAGGCAGCCTGTACAGCCTGTAGGGTTATGGGGGTTAACACGTGTTTTCTGGTAGGAACCCTCTGTAGAGTCCACAAAGTACATCAGCAGACATTAATGAGGGAAGAGATAAATCAGTGCACGTGACATAGATTTGCAGTCAACAGCAGATGGAACTGCTTCAACATAAATAGAAATTCTCCAAATAGAATTGCTATCATAGTAAACAGTTTCATATTTTACTCTTTCCAAATATACGCTTTTTCATTTAAAAAGAACAAAAATGGAGATGGATATGATGCCACCTGACATCTGTCATCTTCCTCACCCAGAAGGGCTGCCGAGTGAGTACCCGTGGGGCCACAATAGCAGGGAATGTGACCCGACCATTTCTCCAGCCCTGGAAGCCCATCTTCTAAAAGGGAGGCTGCTCTGTGTCCTCCAGGGCGGGTGAGGGCAGGAGCCTCATCCCGTCCTGCCACTTACTGGACAGGTGACCTAGGCTCTGTCAGCCTGAGCTTGGGCATCTGTGACAGGGGACTCACGATACCTGTGTCACAGAGCTGTCCTGAGGGGTGAATGAGAAAACCTGCCCAAAGTATATGGCATACTGTGGAACTTCAAAGGCTCTTTAAAAAAGGCAAGACTCAGTAGCAGGGGCTGGCTGAGCCTTAGGGCTAAGGCAGGCACTGTGGAAAGGTGTTTTTCATTGTTTCGCCTAATGAGAATACACATATCTTTATGAAGGAAGCAAATCTCTCTCTGGTATGCCTTGAGTTCAAAGTTTTAAAGACAGAAGGATCTCTAGCTTCTTGGGAGACTCAGAAGCTCCTAAGAGCTGCCCAACATCGTGCTTCTGAGCAGACCCTAACCCAGTTCCCCACGCTGGGAAGACAGGCTTGCCTTTGATTCACCTGGTGAGCTCAGTGAGAGATGGCACCAGGGCAGCGAGTTGTGGTGTTTGTCTAACTGCTGCTCCTGGACTGCTCCGCCTGTTAATACGTTTATAGGAAAATTCTGAATCCGACCCACAGCCACCAGGACAGGGGTCCTCAGATCATGTCACCCCAGGATTTCAGCCACCTGCTGCCTCCCTGAGAGGCAAAAATCCAAAAAGTATTAGCGTTTTTGGACACAATTGTCCATTCTTTAATTATTAACAACTAAAAATTTATATTATAATCCATTCTGTTTATCGAAAGTGTTTCACTAACTCTATTGTGAAATAAGAAGGTAAGAAGATAAGGAAGGAAATGAACATGTAGGAAAATTCAAGGGTTAAATCTGAGATGAGATTGCTCCTTCATATTAAATTTTAAACTTGCTCAAACTTCATGGCGTTGAAGATTCGACAACAACAACAACGACAAAAAACCCTCTTAGGGCCCCTAATCCTTATGCAGGCACAGGTGTCTCTCTGTCCTTCTCTCTCTCTCCCTCTTCCCCTTCAAAATATAAGTTCCACAAAGAGAAATGATTAAGCTTAGCGAGGAAGGCATGTCAAAAGGCAAGACAGGGCAAAAACTAGGCCTTTTGTACCACACAGTTAGTCAAATTGTGAATTAAAACGAAAACTTCTTGAGGGAAATTAAAAGTGCTACTCCAGTGAAAACACAAAGGACAAGAAAGGAAACCAACCTTATTGCGGATGTGAGGAGAGTTTTAGTACTCAGGAGAGAAGATGAAACCCGTCACAACATTCCCTTAAACCAAAGCCTAATCCAGAGTGAGGCTTTAATTCTCTGCAATTCTATGAAGGCTGAGAGAGGTGAGGAAGCTGCAGAAGAAAAGTTTCAAGCTAGAATAGGTTGGTTCATGAGGTTTAGGGAAAGGAGCCATCTCCATAACATCAAAGTGTGAGGTACAGCAGCAAGTGCTGATGTAAAAGCTGCAGCAAGTTATCCAGAAGATCTAGCTAAGATAATTAATGAGGGTGCCTACACTAAACAACAGATTTTCCGTGTAGACAAAACAGCCTTATATTGGAAGAGGATGCCATCTAGGACTTTCATAGCTGGAGAGGAGAAGTCAATGCCTGGCTTCAAAGCTTCAAAGGACAGGCTGGCTCTCTTGTAATGGGCTAATTCAGCTGGTGACTTTAAATAGAAGTCAACGCTCATTTACCATTCTTAAAATCCTAGGCCCCTTAAGAATTATGCTAAATCTACTCTGTGCTCTATAAATGGAGCAACAAAGACTGAATGACCGCACATCTGTTTACAACATGGTTTACTGAATATTTTATGTCCACTGTTGGGGACCTACTGATCAGAAAAATAAAGAATTATTTCAAAATATTACTGCTCATAGACAACTCACATGCTCACCCAAGAGTTCTGATGTAGAGGTATAGTGAGACTAATGTTTTCATGCCTGCTAAAATTACATCCATTCTGCAACCCATAGATCAAGGAGTAGTTTTAACCCTCATGTATTGTTATTTAAGAAATACATTTCATACGGCTATAGCTGCCATAGACAGTGATTCCTTTGATGGATCTGGGCAAAGTAAATTGAGAATCTTCTGGAAAGGATTTACCATTCTAGATGTCATTAAGAACATTATTGGTTCATTGAAAGATGTCAAAATATCCACATTAACAGGAGTTTGAAAGAAGTTGATGGATGACTTTGAGGGATGCAGGACTTCAGTGGAAGAAGTAACTGCAGATGTGGTGGAAAGAGCAAGAGAATTAGAATTAGAAGAGGAGCCTGAATACGTGATTGAGTTGCTGCAATCTCATGATGAAACTTTAACCGACGAGGAGCTGTTTCTTATGGATGAGAGAAGAAAGTGGTTTCTTGAGATGGAATCTACCCCTGGTGAAGGTGCTGTGAAGATTGTTGAAATGGCAACAAAGGATTTAGAATATTACATAAACTTAGTTGATAAAAAAAGTGGCAGGCTTTGAGAGGACAGACCCATTTTTTTTTTAAAACATGTTTATTGGAGTATAATTGCTTTACAATGGTGTGTTAGTTTCTGTTGTGTAACAGTGAATCAGCTATACATATACATATATCCCCATATCTCCTCCCATGTGCATCTCCCTCCCACCCTCCCTATCCCAGCCCTCTTGGTGGGCACAAAGCACCGAGCTGATCTCCCTGGGCTATGTGGCTGCTTCCCACTAGCTATCTATCTTACATTTGGGAGTGTATATATGTCCATACCACTCTCTCACTTGGGCCCAGCTTACCCTTCCCCCTCCCTGTGTCCTCAAGTCCATTCTCCACGTCTGCATCTTTATTCCTGTCCTGCCCCTAGGTTCTTCATGACCTTTATTTTTTTTTTCTTTTAGATTCCATATATATGTGTTAGCATACGGTATTTGTTTTTCTCTTTCTGACTTACTTCACTCTGTAGGACAGACTCTAGGTCCATCCACCTCACTACAAATAACTCAATTTCGTTTCTTTTTATGGCTGAGTAAATATTCCATTGTATATATGTGCCACATCTACTTTATCCATTCATCAGTCGATGGACACTTAGGTTGCTTCCATCTCCTGGCTATTGTAAATAGAGCTGCAATGAACACTGTGGTCCATGACTCTGTTTGAATTATGGTTTTCTCAGGGTATATGCCCAGGAGTGGGATTGCTGGGTCGTATGGTAGCCCTATTTTTAGTTTCTTAAGGAACGTCCATACTGTTCTCCATAGTGACTGTATCAATTTACATTCCCACCAACAGTGCAGGAGGGTTCCCTTTTCTCCACACCCTCTCCAGCATTTAGTGTTTGTAGATTGTTTGATGATGGCCATTCTGACTGGTGTGAGGTGATACCTCATTGTAGTTTGGATTTGCATTTCTCTAATGATTATTGATGTTGAGCATCCTTTCGTGTGTTTGTTGGCAATCTGTCTATCTTCTTTGGAGAAATGTCTATTTAGCAGACCCCAATTTTGAAAGAAGTTCTACTGTGGGTAAAATGCTTTCAAACAACAGTGCATAGAAATCGTTTCTGCAAAGGAGAGTCCATCGATGCAGCACACTTCACTGTTGTCTCATCTTAAGAAACTGCCACAGCCAGCCCAGCCTTCAACAACCACCACCCTAATCAGTCAGCAGCCATCAAAACTGACACAAGACCCTCCAACAGCAAAAAGATTATGGCTCACTGAAGTTTCAGATGATTGGTAGCAAATTTCAGCAATAAAGTATTTTTTAATTAAGGTATGTACATTGTTTTTTAGACTTAATGCTGTTGTACACTTAATAGTCTACAGTACAGTGTAACCATAACTTTTATAAGAAATGGAAAACCAAAGCACTTGTTTGACTCACTTTATTGCAATATTTGCTATGTTGCTGTGGTCTGCAACCAAGCTCACAATATTTCCAAAGTATACCCGTATCTATAATTGAGGCAAGGCTGAGTGAATCAGTAGGAAGAGTAAAGGCCTCGGGTTCAGAAGACGTGGGTTCCAGTCTGGAATCAGCCAATGAGTAGGAGCATGACATGGGGCAGTGTGGGACATTAAGGTCCCAAACCTCAGGTTCTCCATCCCGGGAGTGAGGATTCTTCCCCTCATAGTGTCCTTGTCAGGATTTATTGAAATCACAAGACAGTGAAGGTCACAAAAGTGCCTTAGTCTCAGCCAGGCCTGAAATCTGAGGCTCGGTTTCCTTATCAGTAAAGAATGAGTCACAATATGGAGTTTGTAGTTATGTCAAAAGGATTAAGTGTTATGTGTAGATTAAAAGATAAGCCAGTGTCCTATTATGTGCATAATTAATGAGAATATAAAATTGATGAGAACTCATGCTGGGTTAATGGAACATTTTGCTTCCTTCCTTAATTTTTCTTTTACTATTTCCCAAATTCATTTCAATGTTTTGAAATATATTTAAGAGTATTCCATGCAGCAAATTATTCAAAAACTTTCAAACCTGGAATTTTACCTCTGGAAGGTTCATTTGGTCTTTGCCATGCAAAACTATGCCTGCTAAAAATCACAGACTCTCGTTGTAGTACTCTTGTGGGCTCTTGTAGAGGAAGGAGCATCAATCCACAGCCTCCTCAGCTTCTCTGAACTGCACGTTCCGATTGCTGTCTGTGGAAGAACTCTGCATTTCCGTTGCTGAACTGACCTGTGTCCCCAGCATCCCTCTCAAAAGTGGCAGAGAGAATCTGAGGCAACTCTTCAGACAAGGTATTTGAAAATTTCAGCGTCTTAAGTCCACTGTGTGATGCTACAGCCTATGAAACATTGTGAGCTCACAGTCTTTGGTCCCCTTTCACATGAAACATGTGTCTGGGGATGGTAAAGGTGGTGGAGTTCCTAGATGCCTCGTGGTAATCACACCAGTAGGGTATGTCTGAGACTTCTCACGTGAAGTGAAGTTTAAGCTGAGATCTGAGCCTAAGGAGGCTTTAGCCAGCAGAAGAGGAGAGGGTGGAGACTAGCCAGATATAACAGGAAGGAAATACCCTGTAACCTGGTTTATCCATTTGGAAAATCCAGAGTGGCAATCCCTTACCCAGAAGTTTGTCACGCTGGGAAAATCTTTGTGAAACTTAACAGGACAGTTGTAGAAAGTACCTGAACCCCTTCTGCCCTCCTTGCTCCCACCTCAGGCCTTTACTGACCACCAGCCCTCTAAGAGGAGACCTATATTATTACTAAGATTTCTATCTGTGAAACCATAGAGAAGAAGAAAGTCGTTAGGTAAAACAATTTGAGTATGATTTTATTTTACGTGTTCTTCCACCACTCACCATGCAAAGCAACTTTTAATAAATTTTTCTTTCCTCTTCCCAAATTTTCCACTGGAGGAAATTCAGAAATTGGAGGTCCATGATGACTGGTGAACACATTGTCAACCAAGAAATGCAGAAGGCTGCAGATAAGAAAAACAGTTTTTACTTAGGGTCTTATGAATTATAATTTGTGAGGCACTGATTTGAGTAGCAACTCAAATGTGCTCACAGGGAAACAAAAATGGCAAGAGTTTATAAAGGTGACGTATAAAGACATTCCAGAGAAGTTATATAGCTTATCTTTACAGAACTCTGATTGGTGCTGGCAGGCATTCAGTCACTTGAGGCACCAGATTTGTTGCCATGCTCTGGTCTCCAGGGAATAACGAAAACAAGTTCCAGTCGGTCTCAGGTTGGCCAGGTCAAAGGTTTATGTTGCATTTGGGGGTAGAAATATGTAAGTCCTACTTCCTTACTAGCCTCCTGGCTCCATTTTCAATCCCTTTGACATAAGTAACCACATTTTGTTGTCCATGGTTCACATGTCTAGAATTGCAGCTTAGACATCACTCAGCAGGAAT